CTTATCTCCGCCCCGGTGTCTCCTCCTCCACCACCACAGCAGCCGACGCCATCGCCGCCGCAGCAGCAGCCGCCGTCGCCGCCGCAGCAGCAGCCGCCGTCGTAGCCGCTGCAGCAGCCAAAGTTGCTGCCGCCACAGCACTAGCCACCGCAGTGGTCCGCGAGCTCTGGGAGTGTGGGTATTGAGGAGGGTGCTAATCCTGGGGGGAGTGTCGTGGCTTGTCCCGCCAGTCCAGAGGGTGGCATCGGTGCTGGAGAGGGTGCTGATTTTGGGGGTGCTAGTCCAAGGGGTACTGTCGTGGCTTGTCCCGATGAACCTGGGGTTGGCATCGGTGCTGAGAGGGTTCTTGTTCTGGAGGTGCTATCGTGGAGCGTCCTGGAGGTAGCCGTGGTGCAGCTAGAGGTTCTAACGTCAGCGTGGAGCAGGAGCAGCAGTTGCCGCCAGTGTCCGCCCTTCGCCTCCTGGACCTTCCCTCCCCCGACCGCCCGCCTGGGCCTCCCCCATCGCCGCCTCCTGCACTTGTCTATGGCCCTGTGTTTCCTCCACCGGACTCATCCCCCGTGCAATTCCCCCCTCGTTCTCCTCCTGTGTCGCCTCCCTTGTCTCCTGACCCGATCCGCCCCTCCCGCTGGTGGTCTCACCAAGCCCCTCGTGCTCTTCCATTTCTCCTGTTTAGCACTCTCACCCTATGATGCTCCGCTCTCACGTGTCTCGTGCTCCTCTTCTACCATCGCCTCCTCTATCTTACTTCCTCCGTGTCGCTAGTCCGCTTGTGCCTTGCATTTTTGACTCTCTGGTCACCGACCCGTCCGTTCCTGTCTCGAGTCTTGACGCTCTTGTCGCTGCTGTCGCTGACTTTGCCTCTACCCATCGCCTTGAATACGCCACAACTCTAGTCTCTGACCCTGAGCATCCTCCGCCCGTCAGGGGTGCACCTTCCCTTGGTAGTGACGTCCTAGAGGATATGCAGTACGAGCTAGCTTTCCTGTCCGAGGCCGCTCCCCATCTCTGCTCCATGCTGCTAGTCCTTAAGGGTGACCCAGATGCCCTTGACATCCCGACCCCTCGCATTACACTGAGGTGACCTCGGGACCCTGGACCTCTCAGTGGATAGCTACCATGGACGCGGAGATGGCATCTTGGAGATCCACCGGCACCTACGTCGACACAGTTCCCCCCCCTGGGGTGAACACAGTCAATGGCTCGTGGCTCTTCAAGGCGAAGCGCCCTCCCGGAGAGCCGTCGGTGTTCAAGGCGTACTACATTGCTAGAGGCTTCAGTCAGTGTGACGGTGTTGACTTCTTCCAGACCTTCGCCCCGACCCCGAAGATAACTACTCTTCGGGCGCTGCTACACGTAGCAGCACATCGTGGCTACGAGCTCCACTCCTTCGACTTCTCTACAGCGTTTCTTCGGGCAGTCTGCACGAGCAGGTCTACCTGCGTTGCCCGCCAGGCTTCACTGGCACCTTCACCCCTGGGACCCAGTGGCATCTCAGGCACCTGATTTACGGCCTTCGACAGGCGCCGCGTGAATGGCACGATACGATGCGTGCTACGTTAGCTGACCTGCAGTTCTTTCCGTTGTCTGCAGACCCTTTGCTCTTCGTTCGTTCAGGCCAAACTCCGTTTTACATCCTTCTCTACGTAGACGACCTGGTCTTCGCTACTGCAGAGAGAGACGCATTGGCCTCCGTTAAGGCTGGGCTGCTGAGGCGACACACCTGCACTGATCTAGGAGAGCTGCTCCGCTACCTTGGCCTGCGGATCTCCAGGGACAGAGCAGCGCGCACCATCACTCCCACACAGTCACACTTGGTGTGCAACGGAGCCTAGTGGTCCATACGCAGAGCTGGTGGGTTGCCTCATGTACCTGATGACTTGCATTCGTCTAGATCTCGCATACCTTCTCAGCATCCTGGCTCGCTTTGTGGCCACAAGCAGACACCGACCACAGCACTGGTCGGCCGCTAAGAGGGTTTTGCGTTATCTAGTATGTACATCGGACATGGGGCTAGTGCTAGGAGGACGAGGCATGTGGTCCTTACAGGGCACACAGACACTTCGTGGGCGGACGACGCTGAGACGCTCAGGTCCTCCCAAGGCTACTGCTTTAGCCTTGGTGTAGGCGCCATCTTGTGGAGGTCCACCCGCTCGTCGTCTGTTGCACAGTCTAGTTGTGAGGCTGAGATCTACGCCGGTGCCATGGCGGCACAGGAGCTCCTCTGGCTGACCTTCTTGCTCACAGACTTAGGTGAGCGACCTAGCTCTGCCCCGGTGCTGTATGCCGACAACAGTGCCATGATCCTCCTGTGTCACGAGCCTCGATTGGAGGGCAAAGCGAAGCACATCCAACTGCGATACTTTCTCCTGCGCGAGCTACATCTGCGCCGCCAGGCCCGCGTAGTATACTTGGCCTTCGTTGCCAATACAAATGACATATTTACTAAGGCGCTTACGGCTAAAGAGCATCAGCGGCACTGTGTACACCTTGGTCTAGTCCTGTAGCTCCTCACTTGCTATGACCTTGATTATGTACTACTGCTTTATATATTTTCCTGACTGGCCTTGTGGCTCCTGTTCTAGTGGCCGGACTAGGAGTGCCGCGCTGGTTTGCTCTTGTCTAGTTTGTACTCTTCTGACTGGTTTTCAGACCCTTGCTTCAGAGGTTGGACTAGTAGTGCCACCCTGAGCTGTATGTCTCTTGCCAGGCACTGCCCGTTGTCTAGCCTAGGGGGTGCGTCAACTTATATTTGTATATGGTCATAGGCTAGCTAGGTGCATGCCCATAGAGCGTACAACCAGGGCTGACTTTATCAGACAATTTACTCTGATTAGTCTGAAATCTCAGACCTGTTTTTTGGCCAAACCTGAATTTCCAGATAAGGCATTTTCCCAATCCTGATCCCTTCAGAGTACGATTCTAGGGATCCTGAGAAAATCAGAGTTGTCGCTAACCCAGTACTGAGTTTTCAGAGCACATCGCGTACGGACCCTGACTCATTACCTGTACAGTACCAACCTTCGAAAAATTTGGTGAAGTCCCCAATCGCTAGAGACATGCCCCACATACCCCACAACCCCTAAAATTTTTCGGCCAAGTCCCCAAACCCTAGAGACAACCCCCACCCCACACCCCACAACCCATCTAAAATTTCGGCGAAGTCCCGGAACGCTAGAGACATCCCCCACACACCCCACAACCCACCCTAAATTTCGACTAAGTCATGTTGTTAGATACAGTCCTCCCTAACACCTGGAACAACCCAGAAGTTTTGAATGAGACTTTCACTTTTTTTTTTTTAACTGCGTTGAAATGAGAGTAAATTCCGCATTTTTAACATAGGGAAATTCTCGCCAGTTGCCCGTTTGGTCAACTGAAAGTCTAACAAAATGTAACGGTCACGATCGTTTGCGATCGTTTCGACGTATATCCATCGTTCGATGTTATATTGCGATTAACGTCCAAGATTTCCCAACCGGGGCGCTGCAAGGGCGCGAAATTTCTCCCACCCTCCTATTCCCCAGCTTCCCCCCTCCCTGCCGTTTCGATTCCCCCCTTCCCCTCCATTTTCGCTTCCCCCCTCCCCTCCGTTTCGATCACTTCCCCCCTTCCCCTCCGTTTCGCTTCCCCCATCCTCTCCGTTTCGACCGCCCCCCCCCCTTCCTCCCCCTCCCCTCCGTTTCGTTTCCCCCCTCCCCTCCATTTTGATTCCCTCCCCCATTTCCCCGTCAGTTTCGATTCCCCCTCTCCTCAGTTTCGATTTCCGTGGCAGTGCGATTTTACCCCCTCGGTTTTTAGGAATGACTTCCCCGTTTCCCACATTTAACAACTACGCAAAACGAGGGTATGACAAGGTTGCTGGTTGGGGGGGGCGCGGGCTGTGGGAGGATTTTTAATGCTGCAAGGAACTTAGCCGATTTTTTGGGAGGTGTAGGAGGGAGGGATGTTTCTCGCTGTGGGGGTGTTTCCCGTGTGTGATTCTGGTTGTACGTCCTGGACCCTGAAAAAATCAGACTCGCTGAGTTCTGGACCCTGACATTTCAGACTACAAAAATTTCGGCTGAAGGCCCTTCAGACTATTTTTTTTTTGGGGGGGATTGGCTCAGAGTGCCTTTTTTTGAAACGTCAGCCCTGCGTACAACACCTAGCACAAAACTACCCTGTACCGTCTTTTCTAGTCATTTCGCTACTCTGAGACAAGCCTCGAGGCAGAACTCAGTATAACCGATGCCCGGGAGTTCTGCCTCGAGGCTTGGACCAAGTGTAGAACGCACCCTTAGATTTGATGTTTCAATTGCGCATGAAGTCTTTCGTCTTTTTTGTACAAAACTTTCGTTCATCTTCTAACATCATGTAGATCCATTCCAAAACCCAGGAACTTATCATTCATGTAGTTACAATGTATATGTATGAAAGCAATTTTATGAAGTTTATGTACAACTCGCTATGGTATTGATTCGATAGAAGTGGTTGTATGGTAGCTATCCAAAGTGTTTGTACGCTAATTAATAATTCGCATACACATAAGTGCTCTACTATACCGGGCGTTGGTGGTCCCCCAACAAGCTTTGGTTGTGCCAAAACAGCAAATGCCACATCAGCGAGCAAAAACGACGCGGTAGGGCTCTCGCGCCCACAAGACTCACACGATGCACACGAAAGCTGATGTGTACGCAATTTCGCCTGCCTGTTGTGGGCGAAACACCTCGCTTCGCTCATGGGTCGTGCACCCATTTCGCACACTAGACAGTGGCGGTTGCACGATGGCTGAACGAATCCCAAGGTCCGCCAGCGAGACTATTTGCACGCGATTCTAGTCGCAGGCCTCATCGCTTGTCTTGTGGGATGGGGCTCTCGGTCGCATCGCGTCGGGCCGCTAGTCGCGAAACGTGGTCGTGTGTCACGATGTCACATTGACCTTAGTCCGCCCCCCCAGCTCACCAAGCCCCAACAACGCTGTCATATATTCTGAATCCCACATGTGCTTACGAACGGATGCTTTATGCGCCTTTACAGTAATGGTCTATAGCCAGTAAAGCTTATGTCGTAGCTTTCTTGTCGCATCGTTCATCTCGTTTCGTTGTGACAGTCGGACTGCCTCGTGCGCGGTGGTAAGAGAAAGATAGAAAATGGCTCTTTCGCCGCAGCTACGATTTAGACCCCTGCATCTTGCGCTCGTGGTAGTCGTCGCGGCCGCGTTGGTTCCCTTAGCACTGGCGGGATTCGACGGGTCGTTCGACAAATACTTCCAGTTCGCGCCGTATTGCAAGGGGCAGTACTACTGCGAGCGCGAGGGCGATGGCACCGTCGCCATCTCCGCGCACTGGAACAAAGTCGGAGGTACGTTGCCCGTCATGGGACCGGCGTCGCCGCTTCAGATTCATTCCCTCGTTTATTTTCCCTCTCTTTTTCTCTCTCCCTCTCTTCGAAAGTTTCGTTCTCGCATTTTTTCTCATCCGTATCGCCGGTTTTTTTGCATGGACGTTGCCTGTCCTTGACATTGCGTATACCCGTTATTGACAGCCTTCGACTCGTACGGGCAGTACCAGTACGGCATCTTCAGCGTGCGGATGAAGATGCCGGCCGGCTATTCCGGCGGCATCATCCCGTGCTTCTACCTGATATCGGGCAACAACGCGGGGTACAAGGACATCCACGACGAGATCGACTTCGAAATCTTGGGCGCCAAGAACCCGCGCGAGATGATCATCCACACCAACCTCATCTCCGGCGGCCAGACGAATCTCGAGCAGGTACCGTACCTAGGGAGCTCCCCCTAAGCGCGAGATGATCATCCACACCAACCTCATCTCCGGCGGCCAAACCAATCTCGAACAGGTGCGCCATGCGGCAGCAAATCTCGCTGCGTGCATTTCATTTTTGGGAAGTTCCAAAGAAACATTATTTTCGCCCGTCACTTTCCCAACTCGCTATTCTTGCATCCAAACTATCGAATCAAGGGGGGTTCGTATGGGTAGCGGGAGTGGTCACAATATGGCTCGGGGATGGGTGCCTATGGTTTGGGTACAAAGTCACGACAGCCTGATTTAGCCACGTGCCCTGGACTCCGAACGCAGCGCCGCCGTGCGAGTGCGGTGGGCACAATGTGGGGCATACCAAGTTTGGAGCCAATCGATACTACTCGTGGTCCCAAGGTTCGGCACCTATTGGGCAGCAATGTACCCCGAGTGTGACCCATTAGCCGCCTACCCTCATGCGTTTTCTCCTCTCATCCCGTGCCAGCGCAGCTTACCTACCCGCTCGACCCGTCAACTTGATGAGCTCCAGATGAGCCCATCTGGAGCTCATCAAGTTGACCCGTCAGCTTGTGCGACAAACCCTGCACTCTGTCGCAACGGGTGTTGTCTGGGGCGAGGTGGTAGGGATGGCACGGGGAGTAGGCCCCCCTCTTACGTTGGTGTTTGGGGGCTGGTTTGGGTTGTCTCCAGGAGGTTTGTGTCCAGGTTCTCGGCCCAAAGGGGGGGCGAGCTTCACAATTTTGGGATGAAGTGCTCGCTTATTTTGGCTCACCCTGTCCTCGTGTCTCATTCTCTCCCGCCCCTCACAGTTCACGTTCCCGTTCGACCCGTCGGCGGACTTCCACACGTACACGCTCATCTACTCGCCGCGCTTCATTGTGTGGAGGATCGACGACACGCCCATCCGCGTCACCCTTAACCAACCCGGCAAACCCTTCCCCTCCTCGCCCGTGCAAGTCAGGGTGCGTGCCCTCTCCTGCAGCCACATTACTAGTACTTCATATCCACCATCCCCCTTCTGGCCTAGCTGAAAGCAGAGTAGTACTTTCCCCCTCACCCACTACCTCTCGTCATCCCCCCCATATTGAGAACCCGTCCCCAAATCAGCTCTCCCCTTTGCACTGCTTCCCAAACCCACCTGTCCCCACGCAGGCGTCCATCTGGGACGCGTCGAGCTGGAGCCCTTTAAAGCCCAACTGGGGCAACGGCAAGGTGACAGCTAAATTCCGTGACTTCGACCTGACGATGGCGTGCCCTGTGCCCCCCACTGGCAAGCGCCCCGCGTGTGCGGATGAGAAGAACCGCCGCAAGGCGCCTTGGCTGTTCAACCTGCCGCCCAGACAGATTCGAAAATTCAAAGAATTCAGGAAGGGCCATGTGAAGGCGTCTTATGGCTGGCAGCCAATTCAATGAGAGTACTGCTGATTAGTGTACATGATGGCATTGCTGGCAGATTGCTGCACACTCAGCAATCCACAACCAGGCTCACGTACGTGTTCCCTTGGCAATAAAGTCTGGGATAAGATCCCAATGCTGACTCTTCATCGCTGTTGTGCCATAATTGGTCTATTCTAAGCACAATATAGCATGCATAATTGGCAGAATGGCGGTGCTACACCATATTGACCCCTTCTGGTGCCCGTGCAGTGCTCAACCCGTGTCCTTTCCTTGAAAGGAGCACATTTAGTGCATGCACTAAACCCTGTGAACTCTACCAGACTGGTAGAGAGGCAGAATGGCTTCAAAAACTCCATGCAGCATCACCATATGTTGTCTAACCCATACAGTCATACCCTCACCACCACCATCCCCTTGACTCACAGCCAGCCGGAGAGGCATGTGGTTCAGGCCCATTTAAGCAGCAAACACACAGTGTCCATTGCTCTGAGGTGCCAAGAGATGCAGGAGGCAAGCACACGGTCAGCCCAAGACCCAAGAGTCGGAGTTGGCCTTCATCCATAACCTTTTGGCCACAATGATATGGCGTTTGTGCCTTGCATGAGTGGGTATTGCGTTTGGACCCAGAGCGCTTGACACAGGTACTTTCACTGCCTCAGCGGACCATAATTGCTATGGTAATGAACTTGCTGGCTCTAGCCTGCAACCCCTGCCGGCCTCCGGTGCCAACACAGCTGATATCTTTACGAAGGCGCTTGCGCCTAAAGATCATCAGCGGCATTGTGTACAGCTAGGTCTCGTTCCTGTAGCCTCTCATTTGCTAGGACCTTGATTGTGTACAGACCTATATATATATTACCCTGACTGGCCTTGTGGCCTCCCAGTGGCTGGACTAGTAGTGCCGCCCTGGTCTTGCTCTTGCCTTGTTTGTACTCGTTTGACTGGCCTTTAGACCCCTGCCTCAGAGGCTGGACTAGTAGTGCCACCCTAAGCTGCTTGTCTCTCACCAGACACTGTCCTTATCCAGTCTAGGGAGTGTGTGTGTCAAACATATCCTTGTATGTTATTATAAACTATACAGGGTTGTGCCTTAGAGAGTACAATATCAGAATTGAATAATGAGTAGAAGACATGAGTACAAGGGTATATGGCCTAAGGGTTGTACCCTCTAAGGCACAAACCTATACAGTATATACAAACATAACAATATATGTTTGACACACCCCCTAGACTGCATAGGTGCTGTTCATGACGTGAGAACGAGCAACTCAGGGTGGCACTACTAGTCCAACCTCTGAGGCAAGGGTCTAAAGACCAGTCAAACGAGTACAGACCAATGCAAGAGCAAGGCCAGAGCGGCACTACTAGTCCAGCCACTGGGAGAGGCCACAAGGCCAGTCAAGGGTAAAATATATATAAAGGTCTGTACATAGTCAAGGCCCTAGCAGGTGAGAGGCTACAGGAACGAGACCGAGCTGTACACAGTGCCGCTGATAATCTTTAGGCGAAAGCACCTTCGTAAAGATATCAGCAGGGTTGGCACCGGAGGCCAAGTGTACAACGCGGGCCTGCCGACGCTGCTGTAGCTCGCGCATGAGGAAATACCGCAGCTGGATGTGCTTCGCTCTACCCTCAAGTCGAGGCTCCTGACAGAGGAGGATCATGGCCTTGTTGTCAGCGGTTAGGACCGGGGCAGAGCTAGGCCGCTGTCAGTATGCAAGAACGTCGGCCTCACAGCTGGACTGAGCAACAGACGAGGAGTGAGTAGCTCTCCACGAGACATCACCTGAACCAAGGCTAAAGGAGTAGCCGTGCAAGGACCTGAGGGTCTCGGCGTCGTCTGCCCAGGAAGCGTCTGTGTGCCCAGTAAGGACCAATGGACTGCGTCCTCCCAGCACTAACCCCATGCCTGATGTACTCCCAGGATGCTGAGAGGGTATGCGAGATCTGGACGAGTGCAAGACATCACGTACATGAGGCAACCCACCAGCTCTGCGTAAGGACCACTGGGCTCTGCCGACTCCTCAGGAACTAGAGCAGAGAGCCTATGATCTACTGGAAGAGGGGTGGGCTGTGCGGAGGAGAACTGAAGACCGAACCTCTGAAGGACCTGGCGCACCAAGTGTGACTGGGTGAGAGTGATGGTGCGCGCTGCTCTGTCCCTGGCGATCTGCAGGCCCAGGTAGTGGCGCAGCTCTCCTAGGTCAGTGCAGGTGTGTCTCCTCAGCAGCTCAGCCTTCACGAAGGCCAGCGTGGCGGTGTCTGCAGTGGCAAAGACCATATGGTCTACGTAAACAAGGATGCAGAACGGGGTTTGGCCAGCACGAACGAAGAGCGAGGGGTCTGCAGAGGACGGAAAGAACTGCAGGTCTACAAGGGTAGCACGCAGCGTGTCGTGCCACTCGCGGGGCGCCTGGCGCAAGCCGTAGACTGGGCGCCGCAGGAGCCACTGGGTCCCAGGAGGGAAGGTACCAGTGAAACCCTGAGGGCGACACAGGTAGACCTGCTCCTGTAGATTGTCCTGAAGAAACGCAGTGGAGAAGTCGAGGGAGTGTAACTCGTAGTCACGCTGTGCTGCTACGTGTAACAGCGCCCGAAGAGTAGTCATCTTTGGGGTCGGGGCGAAGGCCTGAAAGAAGTCCACCCCCTCATGCTGACTGAAGCCTCTAGCCACGTAGCGCGCCTTGAACACAGGCGGCTCTCTAGGTGGGCGCTTCACCTTCAAGAGCCAGCGGCCATCGACCACGTTCACCCCAGGGGGGGGAACTGCGTCGACGTAGGTGCCGGTGGATCTCCAGGATGCCATCTCTCGCTCCATGGCAGCTATCCACTGAGAGGCCCAGGGTTCCGAGGTCGCCTCAGCGTAAGTGCGAGGGGTCGGGATATCGAAAGCGTCTGGGTCACCCTCAGGGACTAGCAGCATGGAACAGAGATGGGGAGCAGCCTCGGACAGGAAAGCAAGCTCGTACTGGCAGTCCTCCATGACGTCACTGCTGAGGGCAGGAGCACCCCCAACAGACGGAGGACAGGCAGGGTCAGAGACCAGAGCGGTGGCGTAGTCAAGGCGGCGGGTAGGGGCAAAGTCAGCGATGGCAGCGACAAGAGCGTCAAGACACGAGACCGGAACAGACGGGTCAGTAACGAGAGAGGCAAGGACCCGAGGAACAAGAGGACGAGCGGCGCGAAGGTAGTCAGACAGAGGGGGAGGCGCAACAACAAGGGAGGACGGAGGAGGCGACGGTAGGAGGGGAGGACGAGACGCGTGGGAACGAAGCAATATAGGGTGAGCGCCTGGGACAGGGGAGACGGGGCGAGCACGGGAGGGACGGCGAGACCAGATGTGAGACGGAGGAGTCGGGTCAGGAGACAGAGGAGGGGACACAAGAGGGGAACGATGGGGAAGACGAGCCGGAGTCAAGTTTGGGGGAGGGAACACAGGGCCGTACAGGAAGAGGAGGATACGGGAGGAGAGGCACAGAAGCGTGGGCAGGGGACGGAAGGCCGAGCAGGCGAAGGCCTGACACCGGCGGTGACTGCTGCTGCGATGGCACGACACCGACACCGCGACCGCAAGCTGCTCCACGGTTACCGCCGGAACGCTCCACTCCAGCACCCCCAGAAGGAACACCCCAAGAGCCCAAAACCCCTCGAGCACCGGTACCACCCCCAGGCCCGTCGGGACAAGCCACGACAGGAACCCCAGGACTAGAACCGACCCTAACGCCAGCACCCCCAGAGTCAACGAACTGCTGCTGCGACGGCTGCGGCGACGGCTGCGGCGGCGGCGGCTGCAAGGACGGCGACGGCGGCTGCGGCGGCGGTGACGGCGGCTGCGACAGTGGCGGCGACGGCGGCTGCGGAGGCGGCAGAGGAGGAGACACCTAGGGAGGGGCAGGCGGCGAGGACTGCGCTGTTGGGCCACCAGAGTCTGCAGACTCCTCGACCGGGACAACCGACATGAGGGGGGTAACGTGAGACACACCAGACGGGGCAAGACGGGGAGGGGCAGGGGCCACCGGAGAAGGGGGAACCAAGAACAGGGGGGGAGTAACCGGAAGAGCACGGTGGGGGAAGCGAGGGTTGAAGGAGACGGACTCGTCAAATGTGACGTCGCGGGAGTGAAAGAAACGGTGCGACGACGGGTGATAGAAGTGCCAGTCAGACGAGTCAAGGGGGAAACCGAGGAAGACACAGGGGAAAGTGCAGACAGTGAGCTTGTCCGTGCCAGAGGCACGAACATGAGCAAGGCAGCCCCAGACGTGGAATGCAGACGCGTCACCAGGAGACCCGGGCCAAAGAAGGGTTGGCGAAACCTGCGGCTGCTGGGGGTGCAGCCACAGGTTAAGCTGGTGAGCGGCGTAGTGAATGGCGAACGGCCACAGAAAATGGGGTGCACCGGCATGGATCATGGAGGCATGAGCCACCTCCATGACCAAACCGATGCGTCGCTCAGCGACCCCATTCTGCTGCGGGGAGTCCGGCAAGGTGAACGTGTGGGTGATGCCCTCCGCACGACAGAAACGACCAAGGACCCCGGAGGGAAACTCGCCACCACGGTCGGACTGGAGATGTAAGTCAGGGAGACCGTGGTGGACACGCGCAGAGACAAGCCACGGGTTGAGACCGTCAGGCATGTCGGCAATATATGTTTGACATACAATCCACGAGGTTATATTCCCTTGTATGCCTTGGTTTTATTAATTCGTTAACTTTGATAGCTAGGACCTTAATTGTGTACCCCTCTTATATATATCTTTCAGACTGGCCTTGTGGCTTCTCTTACAGTGGCCGGACTAGTTGTGCCGCCCTGGTTTGCTCCTGTCTTGTTTGTACTCTTGCTGATTGGTCTTCGGACCCTTGCCTCAGAGGCTGGATTAGTAGTGCCACCCTGAGTTGTGTGCTTCCTGCTCAGCACTACCCCTTATCTAGCCTAGGGGGTATGTCAACTTTTACATATATTTGCATGTAGAAGTTATAGGCTAGAATAGGTGTGTGTTCTTAGAAAGTACAACCCAAACCCTTTATCTCCCTTGTTCTCTCTTCTTGTTAACCATTCTAGTGTTTTAACACATAAATTTCAGGTTTGACAAAACTCAAAATCTGAAATTCAGGGTATGCCCTAGAAAACACCTTGATATACAAGCTTTTAGGCCTTTTTTGCCTGAATTCTAAGGCCTTGCCAAATACTATTTGATGAAGTG